CAGTGATTTCAAAGCTTGTATCTATTTCTAGCAATGCGATGGATATGAAAATATAAACTGTAAAAACAAATGTTTACAATTTCTTGATTAAAAGTAAATAGATATAATTATTTATTATGATACATAGAAAAAGAAAATTTAGTATTCATTCATAAACAGAATGCTTGTTTTCAAATAATTTTCAAAAGTTATTACTTATACAGTCATAAAATGTGCATTTTCACTTATTTTAGATATCAACAATGTGTAAAATATTGTTCTCACAAGAATTATAACTTCTAAACAATGAAAAATTGGTTTTGTAACAAATCAGTTTTATAAAAGTCATAAACAATACTAATTTTGCTCAAAACAAATCTCTAAAATCTAGACACATTGTTAGCAGAGATAGTATCAAGACCAAAACCCGACATACATTCTAAGACCAAGATTGAGACTTGATATACATTTCAAGATCAAGACTGACACCTGACCTGAAATATAAAGACCAAGAATAATCTTTAAAAAAGCAGGATCCTATCGGACTTCATTGTAGAGTCAGCATTTTTACTTGCCAGATGAATTGTCTGCAAATACCTAATTAAAGACTTTTATGGTGTTCAAATGTAGCTACTTGCTGTTATATTTTTCAGTTTGCATATGGATATGTGTTGTCCAATAAAAAAATAAGCTATTTATTTTAATATACATATTGAAAACAATAATTTCAATAGTTGTAAAACTTTTTTGAACTTTGTTGTAGTTCCACTTAGTCCACTTAGTAATACACATCACAAATAAATGTAGAGCAGTTATTTTGGTAATGCTTTAAATTGTATGACATAGATATTTAATTGACATGTAGTTATATACGTATATCACATTTAAATAATCGTTGTTGACATTAAATTAACATTTAAAAACAAACCCATTTTTAATGAGATTGAAATAACAAAATGTAGGTTAAATGCAACTGATAAGTAATTATATTTTAAATTGACATTCAGTTAATATTTAACAAGAATTAAATAGATTTTTGATAAGGATGTGCTGTTGGTTCATTTCTATTTGCATATTTTAATGTATAACAAAAGGTAATTTCAGCACTCACACATGACTAAAGATCATTCCACAACAAACATTTACAAATGCCAGGATTCTTATTTAAATGTATTTAATTGCTGTTAACTGTTAATTGTTAGTGATGATTAATTAAATGTGATATATATTTTTAATAACATCTAAAATAAATATCTATTTATACCATGCAATTTAAAACATTACCATTATTCTTATTAGTTTTGGTGTTTGTTTGCATATATACTATCCTCTTCACAAGTGGTTGTTGCATCTTAAAAACACTAAAGATGATAGAAGTTTTAGTGACAATTTTGTTCAACATGGTTTCATGAACAGCTCCTCCCCTTCTAGCTGAAGACCCTTCCTACTTCTGCTGATGTTGAAGGGAAGTAAAATATCTTCTCTTCCAATGGACGATGCTTAGAAAGACAGCATTTTCATTAAACTTCTCAAAGGATTTTGTTGTCCTAATACTGATGGAAATGATTCCGAAGTTGATAAAAGTGGAGAGCTCATTGTTATAGGCTGAGGACTGAGTCCTTGAGATTTTTACTTGTGTCTTGCATATGTCCCTTCAGTGGCTCGGGAGTATGTCTGCAGGCTTACAGTGCTAAAAATTGATACCCATGATAGGCAGAGCACAGATAGCCCTTTGTGAAGCTTTGTGTGTGATAACAATAAACAAATGAACAAGTTTTGCATATGATTGAAAAATTATTGAAAGATTACTTTTCTATGGAGGCTGGGTGTCTTCACTTTGAGTCTGTTGTACAATTGTGCTACTGGCTACCCTTTAAATTGGTTCTGCATCAGGAAGACTAACTGTTTCTTTCAAAATAACTGTTTTCAGAAACAATCAATGTGTGAAGTTACTTATAACTTCGCAGTGTTGGTGTTGAGACCGAGACCTGAAATACTAAGACCAAGACCTCATAATTTTATCTCAAGATCAGATTTTGTTCTGATTGTTAGAGTGTCTGGAAGAAGCCAAGGCACAAATATCTATGTTACAGTGTTTAACTGACATCCATATTGTTGTATTAGCTTAGAAATAATCAGTTATTTGCTGAGGCCTTGACTGGAATGCTGTAGGCTACAACTGTGTTGATTTCAGAAAGCCTAAAAAAAAATCTTTTTTTTAGCCCAATCAAATAAAAACACTAACATCAAAAAGAAACATTAGATTCTATATACAAGTGTAAGGATGTTTAGCTGTTTTGTCTTTGGACCCTTCCCCTAAATCCATGCCTGCTTATACAACATTAACAAATGCAGTAATGTAATTATAAGTTTGAAATGTAACATACTGTAAAAAGAACAAAAACAGGAAATTTACACTTTATTTAACATTTAAGTAACTGAAGAGCTGGCAGTGGATGCTGTCAACCAAATGCCTTCCCTCTAATCAGTAGTTAAAATTAGTGAAAGTTAGTAGCTTAGTCATAACAAAAACAGGGTGGGTAAGTATGATGACAAGGAAAATCAAACCCAAGGCTTAAATCACCCTCTGAATCATTAGGTCATGTTGGCTTAAAGCTGAATATACTTTAAGTAAAACAAAAACAACTTATAATGCTAAAATCGATTTTTGATACCCTCAGTGGGCAGAGCATAAATATCCCATTATGTAAATTCGATGACGAGGAACCCACTTTGCGACTAATACTGGCTGGGGACGGCC